ACTTAGCTATTTATAATAAAGTTCCATAATTAACTGTTCAAAAATGTGTTTCAAACCCGAAAATAACACCAATTTTCAGAAGAAAACTGTACTAACTCAAAATAACTTACTAAAACTTAATAAGTAAGCATGTTTAATTTATCCAACTCGGCTTGTTTTAGTAATATTAATATTACATTTTTATTATATTTTGACATTACTTAGTTTAAACGCCTTACGCGAAGGCTTCTTCAATCCAGTTAACTTTCAAACCCAACAAATTTTATTTCGCTTCTCCTGTAAAATTTACTTATTTGGACTTATTACACTTTTCTTCGGAATGTGCGAAATGTAGTTTACCATATAGTGAGCATCCCCTCTTTTAAAAGTCGCCCCTTAGTTGAGTAACACGACCTGTGGCGGCAAACGGTCGGTTTTGGCATACCCGGATAGCGCAAATTCGAACTCCATCAGTGAAAATTTTGATAACTCTCGTTCCCTGGATTCCGGGCCAGCTCCCCTACTAACACGTCTATTCAAGAACATCATCATACCAGAGCAACATGGATTTGTCAGGGGAAAATCAACTCTAGTCTGAAATACACCATTTTAATGTATATATTAATTAATACACATTTTATTATTAGTTTCACAATTATCGTTATAAAGTACTTACATTTAGTTATTATGTTTGCCTTCAACTCTTTTTAGTTTTAGGCATTGTATGATCTGTGATTTATAATTTTTCAGTCTGACTTCCTATCCAATCAACAAAATGTTCAACATATATTATTATCAATGTACATTCTATTAAGCATTAACAGATTATAGTCATATTATGGCTAGATATTTGTAAAGATTACTTATTACCTTTTAAATTTTACATTGTGTACCTATCTGTGATTTGACTTATATAATATTATAACGTTTATATTGTAAAATGGCTGCCCGTGAAATAAACATTTATTTATTTTCATTAATACGATCAGAAAACAGGTCGTGACTGTAGCTGATCTATTCATAACACATAACAAAATGGCACATTTCTGACGAACAATCCATGTCGGATCATCAAATGATTAATTTCGAGTTAAAGGCAGCAGCCAGTAAAACTGAGAGAAAGTTCCAAAGCTCACAAATTAGGAAATCTATGAAGAAACTATCAGCATAAGCTTAGAAGAACTCCAAAACACCATTGAGACAGAGGAGGAACTACAAACAGCCTCACATAGTCTAATCACTATCATCAAAAACGCCTTTGAAAACCGCTCTCTCGTCCAGTAAAACAAAAGGCAGTCCATAGTAACGTGCCTTGGTGAAACCGGAAATAAAGAGGCCTAAAAGCAAAGGCCAGAAAGTCGTTCAATAAGGCTAAAACTACTGGAGAATAGAAAAAAAGTACAAGAAGCCCCAGCTGAGTACAATATAGCCTTAAGAAAATCCAAAAGGAGAACCTGGAGACAGTTGTGCCAAAGTTTGTTCTGTGAAGCGATAGATGAATTAGCCCCAGCACAACGTCTACAAAAAGTCCTGTCAAAAATTTAGTCGAATGGCATTGGTCTGCTTAAAAAGCCAAACGGAGAGTACTGCAACAATCACAAAGAAAGTCTTTACTGAAGACTCAATTGCCGGGATCAATCGTGGAAAATTCTCAGAACCAGCCTGGCTTCCATAGCACAGGATTTGATCGTTCCGACAAAACAGGCCGGAGGGCTACAATATCCCAAAGGTACACCTTTAAATATTATTCAAATCTAGCCTGACTCTGGGTTACGTTCCACTGGAGTGAGGCTGGCGTGCCATTTATACCAAAAGTAGGACGTCGGCCAGAGGATGAAACAAAATCCTATCGATAAATTAGCCTAACTTCCTTCCTCCTCTCTCTGCAAAAGGCTGAAATATCTTGAAGGGATACGGCTAACACCCCTAGAGGTGGGCACTTTACGACCCACGAAGCTGGCCCCCTTTGGGGGAAGCCTAGAAATCTTAGACACCAAAATCTTGCCAACCAAGCAGAGTCACGCACAAACTACCTGGAAAGGTACCGTAGTAGTGCTTGAACGGCTAGAACAAGCTATAACCTACCTACCAGATACAAAGACGAAGTTTTCAGGAATTGTAGCTCTTGAAAATACTCCAAAACATTACATTAGTTGATAATGTGATAATGATATATAGCATACAATTTTTGAGAAAATAAATCTCGCGATATTGGATAAAATTTCAACTAAACCTCAAATTTGAAGCTCAATGTCTTGCAGAACCGTACCGGCTACCAAATTTAACTCTTGAACAATAAGTATTACATAATTTAAATTAATTTGCTTAAATATTATTGAAAATATCAGCAGTTTTTCATGACTGTCAAGATATCAACAGATTTCCTAAGTTAAAAATGTGTTTTTTTGCACTTTTTTTCTCGTTCGTTACAGAATGATACCAGACAACTTTATTCATTTACAATTCAATGCTTATGAGAAAAAATTCAGTATAACCTCTTACAGCTATTTGCACCGGTGTTCCTTAAAAACAAACTAAGTTAGGTAGAGGCTAAGCTTAAGGTGAACCTTTAGGTTGAGTTGCTTTGCACCGACCAAATCTTAGCTAAGAATTGAAAGCTATTGGCAAAAGCGCAAAAATGCGTATTTCAAGGAAGAAATGAAGGAGGGTGTGGTGTAACCTATTTCAAGCAGGAATTTATCCGTTAACCTATCTTTGCGATTAAAATATAAATATATTCGTTAATTTCGTCTTTTCTTTCATAACTTATATCACCTGGATATTATTTTGAATATATTTTTGGCATTCTGGTGCAAACTTCTGTAGAAATTACCAGACTCAAGAATATTTTTTTAAAAAGAATTTATGTCGAGAGTATAGGTACTATAATAAACTAAATTCAATTATCTTCCAAAATGTGGTGCAAGTTGCCATTTTGCTGTAAAAGTAATAAACCATACGCACAAAAATAAAAGCATTAACAAATAATTAAATAACAGCAACAAGTATAAAAAAAACCTTCGGAAAACTGGGAAGGGAAAGGAGCTTCTTCTCCTTATGTTCAATTTGGCAGTCGAAAAATTTAAATACCCTACATTGTTTTTGCTATCAAAATAAACAAATATATAATATTTTTTTGCTTTAAACAGGCAGTCTTCGCAGAAAAGGCTCTTGGAACCTTGGATATTATAAATGCAAAATCATCAATAATCAAAGTCAGCCAGAATTCTGTCAAAAAAAGAAAACAAACCCCAAAAATGAGGTTAGAATCCAACTAAGCGGAGAAAATCTGGGGCTTAACTTAACTAGACTTGAGGTGGACCCGAAACAGCGGTGCAAAGCAAAATCGTAGTTTAAGTTCCACTTAAGACTAAGGCTGACCTTAAGTTGTAGCGGTGCAAATAGCAGTTAGTCTTTTCCAACAAAGTATGAAGCAATCCCTTGCAAGTTTGGTTTGAATCGAGAGTTTAATTTATACCTAGTAAATATTATGCAACTCTCAGCAACGAAGTCATTTAATTTTTTTATATACGCCATATACCAATTAATTTTTATTGAACCCCTCAAGACATATTTGAAAATATACAGTCATACACCTAAATTGTCTCATACAGGAAATAATTTTTGATTGACTACTAGACTTTTATAGTAAGTACCTACCATCCTCTCTTCGTTTATGTAACCCTCCCATGACATCATCTGATTTTTTTTTAAATTGCAAGGCTTTTATTATTATTGTTATAATAATAATCGATACGCCCACGAGTCCAGTAGGTAGGCAAAAAAGAAAGCGTCACCTCCAAGGATGCAAAAAAAAAATTAGTTTTATTGTTCTGTTTTTGCGGGTGCCCAACTTTCACAAGTAAAGGTCCAGCAAAAACCGTATCCCTAATATGAATCTATGTCGAAATTATTTTATTAGAGAACAATGGAACAAACAAACATTAAAAATAGACATACAAAAATGAAATTTTATGTACCCTTTGACCTAGGCCTCATATTTCAAATTTCGGCCTAGTTTTTAGTGATGAATAATGATGGTAATATAAGGACTGAAAAAATAGGCTAGCACCATTATTCCGTCTTATTTTTATGACTTTAGTTATCGTGCGAATTATCGACATTGAAAAGTGTGATGATTAAGCGTTTGAGAGGAATCATTAATATGTAGTTTTAAAAATTTTAATATAGTAATGAATATTCAGCAGTAAATGTAAATACTTTGCTTATGTTAGGTATTCCTAGGTTTAACTAGGTTTAAAAATTTTTGAATGGTATGAAAAGGTCTTTGGGTTTTTTTGACCACCCCCTGATATTTTGAAATTGACTTGGATTTACTTGTTTTATAAATGTCTATTTTTTTTTAAATTCCTATGTTGCTTTGACAAAAACCCATATAAAATATCTTCCATCAATGACATATTGAAACAAAGCATCATTCTTTATCCTGTTTCGACTTACCATTTCACGCATGATGAAAAATTATTCATGTACATTTTAATTTTTATGCGTTTTCTTTTGTCAAACAAAACAGCATCTCATTTCACTGGGCTTCTGCTCAAAGAGTCATACTCTTTTTGAAGAATTTTCTATGACTAGACCCATGATTTTATACCTTGTCCACTCTGTATAATGTATAAATATACTAGTTACAGTTTCAATTTTAATTCCTAACAAATTCTTAACATTGCACCCTGTATTGATTTTCCTAACTATCGCTCTTTTCTTCAGTTTATTCTCTATGAGTTTATTCAATTTTTTTTATGTTCACAATCACGTTGATAGATATTCTGATTGTCATGCTTCATCGTTTGAGATTGCATAATTTATTCATTGATGGAAATGCTTACTAAGACAGTATCGTTGGTACGCCTCTATATATACCATACATGCTTCTGTGGTACTTATCAAAAAACCAAGGAGTAAGCACCCATATAATATCCCTCCTTCGTGAGTCTGTAAAGTAGTAGCCGGCGTCTTCTGCAGATGCATCGTACCGAGTCCAAACTTAAAACGGGGGCCATCGACCACGCACCCGGCACGGTACTTTCAGTTTCGTTTGGCGGCGGTACCGCGAGTCAAGTTATTTCGTTAATTTTTTTTGGCAAATTAGATGCCACTGAAAACATCGCGAGATTTGTATTCGTTTTTATATTTGGTTTTATTTTGAAATTTAATTTTACATAGAATGGTGAATGAAATTGAAGTACCTATTGGATATTTGCTATTTGGAAGTACCCTAAGGGTGTAGCTAATAGGTAAGGGACTTTGTTACCGTTTTTATCAGAAATTTTTTCTTTTTAATCCCTCGGCATTTTATAGCCCGCCGTTCAGTCGGGCTATAAACTTTTTGTTTTGGGCTTATAAGTACCACTTTAGTCCCTAGGTATATTGGTAATGTACTATTACTTATTTTGGTGTTCTATTTTTTTTTGCAAATATAAATAGCCAAGGGCACCTTTTTTCAGTTTTAATTAAAAATAAAAAACTACGTGTTTAACCCACTTTAGCAGCGTTTTCCTAAACAATTTCAGATAACGCCCACATTATTGGATTATTTCATGTATTACACAACCTAGAGAATATTTGCGAATTGTAGGTGTACGAATTCCTATTCTAGTCAGAATTTACTTTATGTCATGAATTGGGATATAATAGGTAATATGAGATTTTAATTAGGGGATTTATGGAAAATTGTTTGTCCCAGAATACCTATACCTACGTAGTTATCTATACCTAAAGGTCGATTTAGTTAGGTAAAGTTTAGATATTTTTAGTATGTAGAAGTTTTGGGTAAATAAATTTAAAAAAATATCCAGAGCAAACTTATATTTCGTCGACATTTCGAGAATCCCAAAATTTATAACTGTCGGCTTCCCCTTAACAGTTTGTATCAATTTTACTTTATTATCATTATCATTACTGATCATATCCAAACACGCAATGATGAATTGAGTATGTAAATCATGAATTCCATTTTTCCATTTTCCATTTTCAGCCGTTTTCTATCCTTAGGATATAGGCCTCTTTCAAATTTGACCATTGTCTCCGGTTTTGCGCAACTCGGTACCAATTCAAGCCTGCAACCCTCTTTATATCGTCGTACCATCTTTGTTGGGGTCTTCCAACACTTCTCCTCTCTTCCCAAGGTCTCCATCTAGTGATATACCCGCTCCAGTTTTCTGTATGTCTGGCCACGTGTCCTCCCAATGCCATTTTAGGGAACCAATTCTTTTTGTTATGTCGGAGACTTTGGTTCTTTCCCTTATCCATGTATTTGTTTAGTGGTCTCTCAGAGAAATTCCTAAAATTCGTCTTTCAATGGCTCCCTGATGTACTTCCAATTTGTGTTTAATTCTTCTGGTTATCACCCAGGTCTCGCAGCTATACGTGACAACAGGCAGTATATACTCGTTATAGACTTTTGATTTTAAAGTCATTGGAATATTCATGCTGAAGATGTACTTTAACTTGCCGTAAGCCGCCCATCCCAGTCTAATTCTCCTATCAATTTCCATTTCTTGATTTTGTTTGCCCGGTGTTATAGCTTGGCCAAGGTATATGTATGTTTTTGTCTTTTTTATTGTGCTGTCATGGATCGGTATTGTTTCGTCTGCATCTGGTGTATTTGTAATAAACTGGGTCTTTGTGTAGTTCATGTGTAATCCTACTTTTGCCGCCTCATCTTGTAGTTCTTCCAACATATCTATCAATTCATGTTTGTCTTTCGCAAATCATGAATTCAAGTAAATGTTAAAATAGTTTCTCAGTTTTAGCTAAGCAATATTATTTGGTGAAAATCAGCTAAATATTTCGCTGAAACAATAGTAATACTTATACAAAAAGGCATTATTTGTTTATTGTTGTTCTTATTAGTAGTTTCCAACTTCTGAGCTTTTTCTAATAGTTCTAATTGTTGTAGATACAGGGTTAAGAGGATCTTTGCAACCCCCACAGTTTCGAATTTGCGGGCGCAATTTGATACTTTTCGGCCTGCCAAGGCGCAAAGTGTCACAATGATGTAGGTGACAAAACTTGAATAAATACTGGCACATTTGGTCTTTTCACTTTAACCCTTGTTTGTTTGATTGGCAACTGAAATTTCATTATCAGTTTTGTTCATAATTTGACTTCGAAAGCGGACGCGTTCTTTATTTATAAATAATTTTTCTTAAGAGCGGCGTCAGATAAGTGCCAGCCTGCCATCTTTTGGGCTTTATGACATTCATTGAATATTTTTTAATCACAGGTGTACAAATTCCCTGTAAGTGATTGACTTATTTACAAGTAGATGGCGACATCTTCAATATCAATTCGTTTACATAGTAATATATAGTGGACTAAATAATTTTATTCAGATGCAAATGAAATAATAATATTTCACATAATTAGCTAGGTGAAACAGTTTTTACTGGTCTCTGAAAAAAGTGACTATGCTTCTCGAACTCAGCGACATCTTTAAGAGAAGCTCTAAACACACGTTTGGTTTGAGTCTCTGCTGAAAATGACAGCAATCACCTCCTTGTTTGGCAGATTTTGAATAATTTTGGAATAAAAACATTATAAATTTTCGGAAATTCTGTCCTTTTCATTTATTCCAGTAATTTATGATCCGAAATTATGGAAATTTATTGTTGGTGTGCTATTCTAGGCGTTTATGCCTTTTTCATTTAAATCTGTGACTAAAATTTGCATATTGTTGTCAACAAAATTGGTATTAATTTTACTATTTAGATTGCGTATTTTGCAACCAAAAATGCTTCGTCTTCTACTCCAATTTATTATTGTTATGAACATAACCTCATTTTACTAAAAAGTGGTCTAAATTTTGTGTTGAGTAGAAATTTGCTAAGGTCTGTAAATGACATTTTATTTAAACGCCCCTCTCAAATAATATTTCTAACAACGTTACAAAATTATTTTGGCAGCTGGATAACAACAGTCTTGTCCAAATTAGTTGTTTCAAAACATACGTCAATCTTCACCATATGTTGCCAAACCTCCCGAATTTTCCGATTGGCACTTGAATAGTTGAACAATAACATCAAATACTTCAAATATATAAATTATATGGGTCCCAAGAAACATTGATATTAAAAATTGTAACCGTGCAAAAAAAAAATTAAAAAAAAAAAAAATGCAATATGTAAGTAAATATATTTGTAAAAATATTGAGCATTTCGAGAATATTTTAAAATGAGTATATTGTCTTCGGTACCTTTTTGTATATTGCTTATTGCTAGGGGTAGAGTTGAAAACATGTGGAAACAGAAAATTATCTAGCTGAATAACCTACTCACCCTAGTTTATGGCACATACAGCTTTCCTTTCAGCTGGGTGCTCGTTAACTACTGCTAGAATTAAGATATTGTACCTACTGAATACCTATCATTTGAAAAAACAACTATCTTTCTGAATCCTCGTGGAGAACGAACAAGCCGCCCTCGATCCCCTCTCGCTTCTCTCCGCCATCTGTAAAACAGCTTCTGCTGCGTCACCAGCTCTCTCCCTCTCTCATTCTCCAATGTTCTTTTTTTTTTGTATGGCATCTGGCACTAACTTAAATGTTGGATGTTCACTTTTCAACCATCTCATCACCCCCCAGCTTAAATACAAACTAAACGTGTTTAAAGTTACATTAGTTACAATCGAACAAAACGAAATGAATACACAGGAATACCCCCTAGTTTAAATACAAATTCAAAGTATCCAAGTTGTCATCCCGCAAACAAAAAAAATATCTAAGGATACGCGTTAAATACAAGCTCCAAGTATTTAGGTTACAATCGAATAAATAAAAGAAATACGTATGAATACCCCCTAGCTTAAATACAAACTCAGGGCCGGTATATCAATAGAGGGTTACCCCATGAGTTACGGATAACCTTGGGCCAAAGTTGTGGCAAGTGTTCATCCATCTAAGGTCAACTGCTAACTCGAAAGTTATTTCGGGAAAAAGTTAACCCGCGCTCTCACGGCAAGTTAGCGTACCTATTTGACCCTGGCTTAATCTAAAAATTTTCTCCTATATTTTCGACCTGATTTTTTTTTAAAAGTGGTGGTGCTTGAATTTTGATATTGTGAAGAGATGGTGGACCTAGATTTCAGTGATAATGATCGAGATGTTCTAGAATTTCTAGAACATGCATGAGCGCCTCTACCACGTAGTTGCGGTCAAATCCCATTGACGATATTTAGGCCTGTTCTCACAGAAATCACATAGATCACTAGATAAAGAACACATCGATTGACACACGAACACTTTACTCTAACTTTTTCGAAACAAATTAACAAAAAAACTTGTGAAAGAGCTGTGAAAAGCGCCAGAACCAGCATAATCTACACGAATGTAAATAAAAATAAATGATTTGTTTTTCCTCAGGGCGACTGTCAAACTCATACTGTTCTGCCCTAACAAACAACTAAAATATAAATTGGAACGCTCTCACCAATTTTTCAAGATCCATTCCATGTAGTTGTGTTTCCTATCCGTCTGCATTTGCACAAGCCTCTAGCCACTACTTGGGGGTCAAAATGAAACGATTCTTTTTATCCTGGATCTCAGGTTAGATCCTCCACACAGGTGGGGTTCTTGACTGTTGCAGAATAAGACTTTCACAACGGAAACACACTTTTAGAATTTTACTATTTAAATTTATTTCCTCCAAAATAACAAACATCGGGCAGCTAACAACTATTTTTCTGAATCCTCGTGGGGAACGAACAAGCCCAAGGTTGTTTGAGAGAGGTAGGTTGCCTAATAACTTTATGACGTCATCTGGGGTGGCTCAACATAATGTAAATCTCCATAAGGTACCTACCCCAGATGCGTCATCAAGTTACCCATTATCAGACAACCTATTAAAGGAACCTTTGAACAAGCCGCCCTCGATCCCCTTTCGCTGCTCTCTGCCGTCTATCAAGCAGCTCCTGCCGCGTTGCCAGCTCTGTCCCTCTCTCATTCTCCATTCTTCTTTTTTTTGTATGGTGATCGTAAAAAACTCGTCCACTACCTGGAAAACCTCCATGACCAATCAACAATAAGCGTAGTCATAAGTATGCAATATATGCTTGAACAGTGAGTTGTTGAAGAGTCTTCGAGTCCAAGGTCATTGCTAATTGTAATAGTAGATAACAATAAAAGATGGATTTACTAGATCAGATTTTGCGTTGATTACAAAAAGCTTGATGTTGTCACAATCTTGGTAAGAAAAACATTGCCTAGAATTGACGATACCCTTACTATTGTCCGTCAATT